TGTAGTTGGAGGACAGGGAGTAAAATAAAGGAGAAGGTAGAGGAAAATAAGGTCAAAATAAAAAGAGGCAGAGTTCAGGCATGCAAGATTGTATATGCCCTTAAAGGCCATTATTTGTGGAGTCATTATCCTGGTTGCTTTGTTGGGAATGGTTTGTAGGGAATGATGGGAGAAGCAGGGAGGATTGATTAGGCAGTCAACACAATAAGATGGTTAAGATGTGGGTAACTGCTGTATCATATATTTGAAAGTAGGATGTGAGAAAACAAGAGGTATCAAAGATGACTCCAAGATTTTAGTCTGGCAACTGAAAGGATGGAATTGTCAGCAACTGAGATGTATATAGAAGACTAAAAATGGAGCACATTTTAAGGAAATAAATCATTAGGAGTTCAGTTTTGCACATGTTAGGAAATGTCTCAGGCATTCAAGTGAAAATGTCAGGTAGAATGTTCCAAATGAGTCTAGAGATCAGGAGAAAGAGCTGAGCTAGAGGTATTGATTTGGGTTATCAGCATATGGGTGACGTTACCAAGAGGGTGATTATAGATATTGAGGAAAAAAAGACAGGGACTAAGGCCTGGGGTGTTGCCGGTATTACAAGGTTGCCAAGAGGGACCAGCAAAGGAGACTAATAAGGGGAGAACAAGTGAGATAACAAAGGTAGTCTCCTGAAGTCTGTTCAAGAGAATAGCTGTTGAAAGGTTAAGAGGAGAGCTGAAAACTAACTATTGCAGAACAATCATTTATAAAATTAATAACAGATTTAGTGAAGTGATGAAAGTGATTAATTTGAAGTGAAGTGAAAGTCACTCAGGTGTGTCCGACTCTTTGCGACCCCATGGACTGTAGCCTGCCAGAGTCCTCTGTCCATAGAATTCTCCAGGCCAGAATACTGAAGTGGGTAGCTGTTCCCTTCTCCAGGGGATCTTCCCAAGCCAGGGTCTGCCACATTGCAGTCGGATTCTTTATCACCTGAGCCACCAGGGATGCCCAGGATTAATTTGAGTACATGTAAAAGGGGATGGAAAGAGAGTAATTGGAGACAGCTAGTATAGGTGATTTATGTGGAGTTTATTGTTGAGTTGCTCTTTGTGTCTGGCTCTTTGTGACCCAATGGACTGCAGCACACCAGGCTTCCCTGTCCTACACCATCTCCCAAAGTTTGCTCAAACTCACGTGCATTGAGTTCATGAGGCCATCCAACCATCTCATCCTCTATTACCCACTTCTTCTGCCCTCAGACTTTCCCAGCATCAGGGTCTTTTCCAATGAGGTTTGTTCTACAAAAAGGAATTAGCATTCTGGAGCAGTTGCTCACAGGGAGAGGAAGATTAAGACTTCTTTTTAAAATGGGAGCAAGAGTGGTTTTTGGTATATGTCAGAGAAATGATATAGTAGAAAAGAGGACTCTGATGATCTTTTCCACTTTATTCTGATATTTTCGATAATTAAGTGTTTTACTAAAGACGGTATTCATTTCTTTAATGGGTTTTTTCTTCACTTTTTTTTTTTTTTTACAAAAATCTTAACCTCTGGTTGTCTCATTTCTTCTTTCATCTTTTATTTCAAGAATCCCATCTTAAAAACAATAGAGAAGTCCAAAATTTCTTGTTTCCCAGATTTATTCTTTGAAAACTGCCTCAACTGTTTTTTGCTACCAAAGTTTTCTTCAGTTGGTTGATTACGTATGAATTGAGGTATAGAGTTTTTTTCAGTGTTATTGATTATAGTATTTTACTTCAGGGTGTTGCTTAGTTTTTCTCCTTTGTTGTGTTGCTGATACTGCTGAAGGGGAAGAGCCAATTCTATAAAGAGCTATTTATATACCTTATTTTGTTTACTTACTCTAATGATAGTTTTTAATATCTGCTAGACACTTAATTAGTAACATTGTTTATATTTGTGAAATGGAATGTTTGTTTTAATAGATATGCTTTTGCAGACATGAGATTTACCTAAGTGGCCAGAGAAAAAAACCTTGGGTATTTGTATTTAAGCAGAAATTAAGATTTATATGAATGTAGTAATGAAACAAAAGTTGAATTATCATAAATCAGATTTGTTTTCTTACTGACACAGTTATTTAATTGAGGGCTGCCCGTTCTGACTAATGATTGGTCAAAAGCTATAGATATAAATGACCAAATAACCATATGCCCTATGTTTTTTCTTGCATTTCAGAAAACCTTAATCGCAATAGAAGTTGTCATCATCTAGCCTTAGGCAGTTTAATTTATGAAATAGATTTTATATTATATAAATTATTTTAAATTGGTATAAATTTGAAGCTATAGATTAGCAACTCTTAACTAAGGGATGTATATTAGAATTATGTAGTTTTTCAAAATTCACATTTTAAAAGAACTCTCTGAAGTGATTTTTGTGCCTAAGAACTGACACTTTACAGAGCTTCCCTGGTGGCTCAGTGGTGAAGACTCTGCATGACAATGCAGGAGACATGGGTTCGATCCCTGGTCTGGAAAGATCCCACATTCTGGGGAGCAGCTGATCCTATGCATGACAACTCCTGAGCCCGTGTGCCACAGCTGCTGAAGCCTGGAGCCCCAGTACCCGGAGCGGCGCTCTGCCGCAGGGTACGCCTGCGCAGTGAGGACTCCTCACACCACAGCTGGAGAGCAGTCCCCGTTCGCGGCAGCTAGAGGAAAAACCAAGTGCGGCCGAAATAAATAAGTTAGGGAACTATCACTTAGAGACAAAGTTACAGACATGTTTATTCATCAGGAAAGCTAATATGGGAGTGTCTTAATTCAAAACTGTTTTCCTACACCGAATTTTCTTTTGTAGCAGTATAAATTAGTAGAAAAATTGGTAAAGTCTCGTTAAATTTTTTACGCTTTTCCCCTCCCACGGTGTGTGTGACCTGTAACTCGACTGTCAAGGCAGTTAAATGTTAGTAAATTATCCCTTTAGAGTTTGCCAAAAATTCCACGCTATAAGCCACCTAGCCTTTCATTCCCTCAGATTAGTGGTATTGAATCTGCAGAATTGAGTAACTTGCCCTTGTGCCTTGATGGACCTTGGGAGATATCCCCTCAGCATAACCCAGAGAAATATAACCCCGATTTTAGTAAAGTATTCAGAATTTAGATTGGTTCCTAAAGGGTAGTGTGAAAAGCAAATATCTTGAGTTGATTGGAGCAGTTAGGACTAGCTAGCTTACTTTTTTTACAACTTTTTCCTTTAGGTGGCATTGCAGATTAAGATCTTTTATTTCTTTTGCTGCTAACAAAGGCTAGGCATTGCTGTTATCATTAATCTGCTTAAATGTAGCCTTTTTTCAAAACTTGTATTATCATTCTAAACAACAACACCCATCATTGCCTTAGTTTTTACTTTTCTAATCAAATGGTGCTTCTAATAGTTTGTAGACTCGAAAACATCTTAATGCTCCTCCTAAGAAAGATGACAACCCAGCCACTGCATCCCTGCCTCAGCTCATTTCTGCTTTCTTGCACATTGTTTTGTTTTGGTGGTGGTGGTTAGTGGAAGGCTCATTTAAGGAGTAGGAAGAATCCACGCTGTTTGACTTGATGGGCTCGGTCTTGAGCCAGGTCAAGTACTCCAGTGCTTTGATGGTGACATTCCAAACACCTAGTTCTACTGTGTGTAATCTGTATCACCAGAGTGATGATAGATGAAGATTTAGAAGTTGGATTTCATGAACTCTGGATGTTGCTAGGTAGAGCAGCCTCAAATTGAAATGAAAGGAAGGTCTTAATTGACTGTTAGTGTTAGTTGCTCAGTTGTGTCTGACTCTTTGCAACGCCGTCTACCAGGCTCCTCTGTCCGTGAAGTTCTCCAGCAAGAATACTGAAGTGGGTTGCTATTTTCTCCTCCAAGGGATGTTCCTGACTCAGGGATCAAACCTGGGTCTTCTGCATTGTCGTTGGATTCTTTACCATCTGAGCCACCAGGGAAATTGCATAACTCGGAACGTGAAAGATTAGTTCATCCAAAGGAGAGACTCCTTTGGGAAGAATGAGGGCTGTTGCTCTAAGCATTGGAACCTCAGCCTGGGCTCCCTTTCTGCGCCACCCGCGGCCCCCCCCCCCCACATTTTTCTGATTAGAAATAGCATGTTTTTATCTGATTTGTAAGTCAGTTACAATACTTACGACAAATATAAATACACTGTACTTAAGGAAGATTGACTCAGAATCTCCTTAAGGGTTGAATTTCAGGCAGTATTTCCTTAGTTTTTGAAATGTTCACTCCCTGGTTAAGAAGCTATTTTCTCCCAATGCAAGATTGAAATTAAACTTTGAAAATTCTTGTGTAACTTTTTACTATTGTGAAAATGTTTTGTTCATTGCTAATAAAAATTACCTTTTTGGGTGCCTAGTAAAATGTTTCTAATAGACTGAATTAACATCTCATTTCCCACTGGGATGTTACTTTCTTTTATAAAAAATATCTTAATGTTTTAAGAAATATTCAGTAGATACTATGGAAGAAAATGGGGAAATAAGACGTAAATGATGGAACTAGACACTCATGGAGTTGCGTAGCTTCATTATATAATCAATAAGTAAAGCTATGTTATGCTTACTAATAGAGCTATGCACAACAATCTCACTTGGAACTTCCCAAATACCAAATAACAAATGCAGCAATTAACATACCACACTTGAACTGTAAATTGTGCAATGCTTACTCCTTGTTTCTCCTTTTCATTGGCATTGAAAAATGATCTTTTCTAATTTTCCTGCTTATCCAGTTTTCTATTATTTTCCAAAGAGAACAGTTTCTTCTGTTCAGCCATTATTTTGTCTGTTCACTTTCATCTCTTTCTCTTGGTCAAGTTGCTGTTTATAGCAGAATTTATTTATTGAATCCCATATTGATGGACATTTAGGTTGGATGTAACTTTTAAATATTTCTTTTGATAGAAATTGTGTATTTATATTGCTTGATGCTAATGTTATTTTAAAAGGAATTAATTAAAATAGTTTTAACTTAAATATGTTTTCTTATAGCAGAAAAAGAAAACTAAGAACTTCAATCCACCAACACGTAGAAATTGGGAAAGTAATTACTTTGGGATGCCCCTCCAGGATCTGGTTACAGCTGAGAAGCCTATACCACTATTTGTTGAAAAATGTGTGGAATTCATTGAAGATACAGGTAGGATAGAAGTTATCATTGCAAGAGGTTTGATTTAAAATTTTACTTCTGCTACAGCAGTAGTTTGTCAGATGTTCCTGATTGAAACTAAAATTTGAAAAAAGTATGTCATTCTCATTAGGATTAATTATCTTGCGTATTCTAGACATAACCATCTGATATTTGAAAGCAGTTTTTTTGTTAGCCAGTCATGCTTTTATTAGACTTCTCTTTATTAAATGGCAAAGTCAGATCCTAGAATGTTAAATTAATTCTGGAATTTAAAATAATTCAGTTATTAAATTATGCTGCTATTTAAGGTAGTAGTTTGAATGTTTTCAAAATGTTTAAGTCTGATACTATTTTTTAACTCATTTTACACACGAATTTTTCCTTTTAAAATTCACAGCAATATTTATGAATGCACAAGAGGTACCTTGTTTGTGATATTATTTATTCAGGAGCACTAGCTTAATATGGTTTGTACGGTTTGAGTTGTATTTGTAAGGCGTGTGTAGATATCCTCACTGTTTTAAAAACAAGCCTGCTCTTATGTCTGTTTCATCCAGTGAAGCTGTTACTGAGGGTTGGACTCGTCACAGTTGAGGAATAAAGGCAGAATATTATGTTTATGTGTCCTATCTAGAAAGCTCATTTTTACTTCAGTGTAAATGGTGAAATTATATTAATTGATTTTTAAATGTTAAACTAACAGATTCCTGGGATAAATACACTTGGTCTGTGTGTTATTGCTGGACCCAGTTTGCTAAAATGTTAAAAATTTCTGCATTCTAACAATTTATAGTTTTCTAGCAGTGCCTTTATCTGGTTTTGGTATCAGGGTAAAGCTGGTGTCATAGACTGAGTCTGTTTTCTGGAAAAGATTGTATAGAATGGTAATAGTTCTTTATTAAATTTTGGTAGAATTCACCAGCAAAACTATCTGGACTTGGAATTTTGTGAGTACGCATTTAACTATAGATTAAATTTCTTTAATGAATATAGGACTATACAGATTTTCAATTTATTTAGTAAGCTTTGATTGTGTCTTTCAGGGTATTTGTCCTTTTCATTCAAGTTGCTTTAAGGTGGTTTATAAAATTCCATATCATACTTTTGATGCCTCTTTGGTTTTTGGCATTACTAATTTCTTTTTTCCCTCTTGTTAGAAGTTTATCCATTTTATTGATCTTTTCAAAGAACTAGCTTTTGATTTTATTGATTTTTTTTCTCTTTTGTCCATTTCTAAATTCAGTGAATTCTACTTTCCTTCTTTTTGCTTTCATTTGATTTTTTTTATAGTTTCTTAAAGTATAAACCTAGATGAATGATTTTGTCCAGTCTTCTATACTGTTTAGCATTTAAAATTTTCCTGCAAATATTATTTTAGCTGTACACCACAGTCTTAATACTGTTTCCATTTTCATTCAGTTCAGGATACTTTGTAATTTCCCTTTTGATGTTTTAATTTAACTCATTAATTAAGTTTTATTTCAAATGTTTCCCAGATAACTTTATGTTATTCATTTATAGTTTAATTTTGTTGCAGTTGAAAACAGTTTGACTTCAGTGTAACTTTATTGAGACTTGTTATTTATAGCCCAGAATGTGGTCTGTTTTGAAGAATGTTCCTTGGGACCTTGAGCAAAATGTTTATTAAGCTATTGGATGAAGGATTCATCCAGTGTTAGGTCAAGTTCTTTGAGAATATTGGTTAAGTCTTATCCGTCCTTACTGATTTTCTTGTTGACTTGTTTTTTTTAATTGAATACTATTAAAATCTTTAATCATGATTGATACTTGTCTGTATCTCCGTTCAGCTGTGTTAGTTTTTGCTTCATGTGTTTTGAAATTTGTTTAGTTTCACTTATATTTAGGATTATGTCTTTTTTTATGAAATAGTATCTTTATGATGCAATCTCCTTGTTTTGAAGCCTACTTAATCTAAAGTTAATGTAGCAAATTGCATTTTCTTTCTTTTTTTCTTTGTGGTATATCTTTTTTTATCCCTTTAATTATATCTTTTTATTTAATGGCATTTCTTGTGGACTGAGTCTGACAATCCACTCTTCTAAGTGGAGTATTTATTATATCACTGGCTTTTTATGTAATTATCAGTCTGATTGGTTTTAAATCTTCTGTCTTGTTTTTATTTATTTTTTGTCTCATGTGAACATTATTCCTTTTCTGTTTTTGCTTTCTTTTGGATTAGCTGAAAACTTTTTACTCTGTTTTAACTCCAGCATCCAGTTACTATGTTTATCTGTTAGGGTTATTTTAAGTGGTACTCCCAAATTTTAAATATATATCTTTAATCACAATTCATGTTTAGACATTACACCAGCATAATGTGTAGCTTAAGAACCTTGGAACAGTATATTTAACCCTCCTATCCCTTGTTCTATTGTACACTTTAAATTTACAATATGTTTTAAGTATTGTAGTATATATTCATAAGTTTTATTTTAAAAAAGTAATTATCCTTATTTTTGAAAGATTTTCTTAGGTTATAATCCTCTTAGAAAACAGCTTTATACAAATAGAATTCACATACTCTACAATCTACCCATTTAAATTGTACAGTCCAGTGGTATATTTGTATGTTCACAGAGTTGTGCAAGCATCAGCACATTGAATTTTAGAGTGTTTTCATCACTTCCAAAGTAAACCCCATCCATTAGGCAGTCAGTTCCCCATTCTCCATACTCATCCTCCCTTAAATTTCTGGCTCTATAGATTTACCTATTCTGGTCTTTTGTGACTGTCTCCTTTGCTTTAACATAGTGTTTTATAGCATCCATGTTAGCATTTCTCAGTACTTCATTTTTTTAAATAATTTTTATTTACTTTTGGCTGTGCTGGGTCTTCGTTGCTGCGTGGACTACTGTCTAGATGCAGGGCATGGGCTCCCTGTTGCAGTGGCTTGTCTTGTTGCCGAGCACTGGCTCTGGGGCACACAGGCTTTAGTAGTTGCGGACATGGTCTTAGTAGTTGCAGCCCCCGGGCTCTAGAGCACAGGCTCAGTGGTTGTGGTGCATGGGCTAACTCAGCAGCATGTGGAATTTTCCCAGATCAAGCACTGAATTCTTTTCTCCTGCATTGGCAGACAGATTCTACCACTGAGCCACCAGGGAATCCCCATTCATTTTTATTGTTGAATAATGTTCCATTGATGTGAACTTGTGTTGATTGCCACTTTCTGACAACTCTGAATATTGCTGCAGTGAACACTTACATACCAGTTTTTTGTGTGGATACGTTTTTCACTTCTTTCAAGTATACATACCTAGGAGCAGAATTTCTAGATCATAGGGTATGTGTGTGTTAATCACTCAGTCATGTCTGACTCTTTGCGACCCTGTGGACTGTAGCCCACCAGGCTCCTCTGTCCATGGAATTCTCCAGGCAAGAATATTGGAGTGGGTTACCATTTCCTTCTCCAGGGCATCTTCCTGACCCAGGGATCTAATCAGGGTCTCCTGCATTGCAGGCAGATTCTTTACCATATGAGCCACTAAAGAAGCCCCATGGTTAACCCTTGGAGGAATTTACCAGACTGTCTTCCAAAAAGTGATTGCACCATTTACATTCCCACCAGCAATATTCAAGAGTTCTAGTTTCTCCACGTCTTTGCTAACATGTATTTTCTGATTTTTTGATTACGGCTATATTAGTGGGTGTGAAAGTCTTCTCATGTGGTTTTGATTTGCATTTCCCTGATGACAAATGATATTGAACATATTTTCAGTTGTTTATTGGCCATTTGTTTATCTTTGGAAAAATATCTATTCAGATACTTTGGCATTTTTAAGTTGAGTTGTTTGTCTTAGTGTTGAGTTGAAGAATTCTTTATATACTCTGGATACAGTTCAGTTCAGTCCAGTCACTCAGTCGTGTCCAACTCTTTGTGACCCCATGAATCGCAGCATGCCAGGCCTCCCGGTCCATCACCCAACTGCCAGAGTCCACCCAAACCCATGTCCATTGAGTCAGTGATGCCATCCAACCATCTCATCCTCTGTCGTCCCCTTCGCCTCCTGCCCTCAATCTTTCCCAACATCAGGGTCTTTTCCAATGAGTCAGCTCTTCGCATCAGGTGGCCAAAGGATTGAAGTTTCAGCTTCAACATCAGTCCTTCCAATGAACACCCAGGACTTATCTCCTTCAGGATGGACTGGTTGGATCTCCTCGCAGTCCAGGGGAATCTCAAGAGTCTTCTCCAACACCACAGTTCAAAAACATCAATTCTTCTGTGCTCAGCTTTCTTTATAGTCCAACTCTCACATCCATACATGACCACTGGAAAAACCATAGCCTTGACTAGATGAACCTTTGTTGGCAAAGTAATGTCTCTGCTTTTTAATATGCTGTCTAGGTTGGTCATAACTTTCCTTCCAGGGAGTAAGCATCTTTTAATTTCGTGGCTGAAGTCACCGTCTGCAGTGATACAAGTTGCTTTCAAATATGATTTGCAGTTTTTTCCCCCCAAATTCCTTGTTGGTATCATTTGAAGCACAAAAGTTGTAATATTTGATGAAATCTAATTTTTTTTGGGTCACTGTGTGCATGGTATCATATCTAAGAAAGCTTTGCCAAAACCAAGATTACAAAAATACATTCCTATATATTCTTCTCTAAGAGCTTTTTTAGTTTTACCTGTTACATTTCGGTCTGTGATTCATTTTGAGTTAATTTTTGTGTGTGGTACAAGAGGCATCCTAGCTTAATTCATTTGCTTGTACATATCCAGTCCAAGCACCATTTATTGAATTATCTTGGGATTCTTTTTGAAAATCGCTTGGCCATAAATGTGAGTAGTTCTTCCACTTATATTCCATTGATCTATATGCCTATCCATTTTTGTCAGTACCACTTTGTTTTCAATATTTTACCTCTGGGGTAATTGTTGAAACCAGGAAGTATAGTCTAAAGATTGCTCCTCGTCTTCTGCATGATATTTACTAAAAATCTGTTTTTCTTACCAGTATTCCTCTGTATATGATGTGTTACACTCTCTTCCT